CCCAAGGGGTCCCGATTTGAAGAGGGTGCAGGCTGGCTGAGGACCCCCCCCCCCCGCTGCCATGACGAATTTTGTGCACCGGACCACTAGTCTATATATATATAAAAGCCTAAGCTATCAGCTGACCGGCCAACCAGGGGGCAGACAATGCAGGAGCAGAAACCCACAGGCATGGAAACATGGAACAGACTGATGAATCTCAGAGGAAAGGGGGAAGCGGGGAGGGTGGGAAGAGATTAACCAAAAATCTTATATGCATACTAGAGGCCTGGTGCACAGATTTGTGCACCAGTGGGGTCCCTTGGCCTGGCCTATGGGGATTGGGCCAAAACCGGCTCTCCGACATCCCTTGAGGGGTCCCAGATTGCGAGCGTGCGCAAGCCAGGCCAAGGGACCCCATCTGTGCATGAATCCATGCACTGGGCCTCTAGTAATAATTATAATTGCTAACCCTGTAAAAACTTTATATTAGTATAAGTGTATATTAATAATTTTTATGTGTATTTTAAATGTTTAGGTATAAAATTCATTTTTTTATTCTTATATATATGTAAATAACAATGACATATATTTACTCTGAAGCTATTCTGTAGTGGGATCAAAAATAACTAATTATATCTTTCCTCTTTCCTTTCTCTAATTCAGCAATTTTCAACCTTTTTCATCTCATGGCACACATAAACTAATTATTAAAATTCTGCGGCATGCCAAAAAAAATACTTTTTGCAGATCTGAAAAAATAAAGGGTATAATTTTGATTCATTCACACCAGACGGCTATTGTTGTATTGGCTGTCATTTTTAAATTTGACAATATAAGGGAAAACAGGTTAGTGCCCCTGACTAAAGAGTCAGGTATTTCATGTTTTAAAAAATTCTTGTGGTACACTGGTTGAAAATTGTTGCTCTAATTTAATATAGGAACGTAAGCAGACAACTTGATTTTAAATTATCATATGGGGTCAAAGAAAGAACAGTAAATTACATGAAAACATTGAGGAAGATAATTTTGAAATTACCATTATAGATATCAACTAAAATATTTACTTGGTAGAAAAATAATGATCACGGGTAGAATAAAATAATAGTGATTACAGCATTCTAAAATGAAAAACTTTCATTACTTATCATTAAGCAATACAAGAAATAGATAAGAAATGAGTTTCATTAATAGATATCTCCCAAGGAGGTCACTATAATGGATTTTTAAAAGGAAATAATATTATTTTCTTTAGAAAAATGTTTGTTATAGAAGCCCCATCATTAAGAAGTCCCTATCTAGAGATAGGATGGAGGGTTTGCCAAAGAGTTTCTTCAGCCTTGGGTGAGCACTACTAGGGCATTTGTAAAAGTGTTTGAAGGGTCATGCAAAGTAGACCCATAACTCTCAGTTATTTGATAGTTTCTAGTGGTACCTTATAGACTCTGCATAATCCTGAGCCCACATTATTCACTCTCTGAGCTCCCTTTCTTGTAGCCTTCAGTATCTGCTACTTTACCAAGGAGGAGGTGAGTGGAGGAGTGGGGAATGTGAGAAATGCTAGAGGGTTGAATTGAGGCCTGAAAAGATTAATGAAAAAAGAGAAGAAGGTATTACAGTGAGCTGGATTAAGCACTCCACATTAAACTCAGGCACAGGAATCATAGTAACTGAGTTAAATAATACCCCTTTCTATTTTTGAACAGTTGCTAAGTGTGGATTATCAAGTAAGAATAAGTGCCATACTTATTATTATATTTTTTTCCCCTAGATGCAATAGAACATCTTATGGTAAATGATCCATTTTGCTCCCTAGAAAGGTGGCAAGAAATGGCAAATATATGCTCACAGAATGGCTTTGACAGATTATGTAATGATATCATGTCCATTCTTCGATCTCAGGCTGGAGTTATAGAAATTCCTGAAGAGGATGATACAGTCAACTTAATGCAACATGTGTTTTGGTAGTTCTGTAGCTTAACCAGCTGAGGGAGCTTCTGCAACATTTTGTGTTTGTTGGTTGGGCAAACTGATTCTGAAGTAACTAATATAAATAAATCTGGAATATGAAGCTCAGAAATAAATCATGTTGTTTTTTTGTTATGATTTTGAAACATTTACATTGTTGCTTCTTTTTTTGTCCATATGGTTAGTTCTTGTATTGAATCTTGATAAAATCCACGAATATAACTTTGTATAGAAATGTTTAGGCATTTCTATCTAAGGGCATAAGGTAATGTGCAGATGTGCTCCATTCTGATAATCTAATTTAATAGCAAGAACTGAGGAAGGTGTGATTGTATCCTGTCTGTCTGACTTCCCAAATATCAAATGTCATTGTGTTCTTAGGAGGGTGGCCCTTTAAAGAAAAAAATGTTACTCTACATTTTTTAAATGTTTTAAAATTCTAGCACTCTTTTCTCTTTGAGCTTTTCAGTTGGAGCAGGAATGAGGGAAGGCCTGCAAGTGAGGACTTTGTGTTCGAGACATTTCACAGGCCGTATTGTAGTAGGATCCTGCCCGTTCTGCAGCGAGACTGCACTGTTATATGCTTAAGCAGGCCCTTATGACTTCGCTGACTTTTCTGCTGTTCAGGGTTGAAGCACAAGCTGGCTGCAAAGTTGTTGCTAATACCATAATTTTAGCTTTGAAAAATGTTAACCTGTCCAGTCTGTTCTTCAGAAAAGAAATGTATACACAAAATATCCCAGGCTGATCAATTTACTGCCAGATTGTGGGCAGTCTGTTTTGTCAAAATCATTGAGATGGCTTGAAAACCAACTGGAGAGGGTCCTGGTTATTCTGCTTACACAGTGTTCAACCTTTGATTCAAAGTGGGGAGATGAGATTACTACGGAGCTGGGAGCTAGACATCTCTGGGTGCTTCTGAGCAAGACCCAGACCTAGGAAGCAATTTTGAGAATCCCTTTTTATTTTATGATGCAGCCGGCCCCTCACCGATCCCCACATAGCATATCCCTACCTTTTGAAGGGAGCCCATGAGCCAAGGGCAAGCTTGTTTTCACCTCACAGTTGGGTTTTACTTGCCTTTGGTACACTGAGCTTGTCCACCAAGCAGCTTGTAATTTCTCCAGGCCGGTAGAGTGTCGAGAGGAGGAGAAACAGCAATGCCTGAATCTCCTGAAGAGGTGAAAACATGTAGGAGGACATGGAATTATTTGTAAGTTAGGGTTTCTCAATCTCTGCATTATGAATAATTTGAACTAAATAATTTTTTGTTGTGTGAGGCTGCCTTGTGCACTGTAGGATGTCTAGCGGCATTCTGGCCTCTATCCACTAGAGGCCGGTAGCGCTCCCTGTTTCGCCCCAACTAGTCCTGACCAGCCGAAATGTCGCCAGGCCCTCTTTGCCAAATGGTTGAAAACCACTGGTTGTCTGAATGAGTACAAAAATTGTACCAACCCACAGTTAAACATAATACTAATTACTGGGTGGTTCTCCTGCAAAGAAGGTCAAAGATAGCGAAGAAAGTGAATGTACCTCCTTGATTTTTTCCCCTCCTACATAAATTGTTATTTGCATGCAGATCCAGAAAGCGTCCTGAGGTAAGTGCAGGGAAACAAGTGAATAACATAGGACTTACCTTACTTTCAATTCATATCTGAGAAATCTAACTATCTCAAGAATTCTTGGCAAGAAAGAAGTAACTAATGTGCTCAGATTTCTCTCAGAGGCAGGTGAACATAACCTCAAACACAAGCCGCCTGCTTCTGGCCATGTTGGGCAGAACCTCCTCTCCCCCTGTCTCTGGGAACCATTCAGCCTCGGGTTTGACCTTTCTTTTTCTCAGCTCTTGATCCCTCCCATCTCTTCAGTTAGAAGGCTGTCCAGGTCTGCAGGCTGTGGGAATCCCGGCTTTGAAGAGTGGAAGCCAAGGCTGGCTTGGAGATCATGACTTGTTATCTACTTGAGTGCCATTTGCCACACAGGATGACAAAGTTGGCTCTAAAACGTGAGAAATTGGCATAGCCATTACATTGACTAACACTCAAACCAAGATTTGAAAGGTTCTTTTGTGGCCTTTCCAGAAAGTCAGTTAGTGAGAGGATTGAAAGCATGACCTTTTGCAGAAAAACTAGTGAAATGAGATCATTCACCTTGAAGAACAGGTTGAATATGAATCATAAAGGGTTCCTAACTTATGTTGTTGTTTTTTTAACTCTGCCTAAGGTAACAAAAAGGTATTAGTACAGGGTATGAGAAATTTAATTTATTGCAGGGAACATTTCTGATAGTTAAGGTTTATCAGGTTTACAAGGGGTGTCAGTAGTGAGGGTGGTTTTAGAATCTTCTTTAAGGGTCTTTAAGAATTGCCTGAACTTGGTCCTGCTTGGGAAAAGGCCTTTTCCATTTCATTGCTCTCATACATGGATGGTTCAATCCCTATGTTGTGGCTGGCCATGAGGTGACACTCTGTCACCTGGATAGAGTTTAACTCAATTCTCTGAATCAGGGCTTGGGCAGTGTTCTCCCACAGGTGTGAGGTATTCCACCAGATTCAGCAGATCGAGGTTTCCTCCCTGCCTTCAGTGGGACTCTATATTTCCTTAGATAAGCGTGTCACTTGGGTTCAAATGACTGTGAGGTGGAGATTTGTGTGCGGCCTGTGCTAAGGTATCAGCACTGTGGAGGGAGAGCGAGACAACAGGACTGGGCAGAGGGAGAAGGTAAGCTCTGGAACCATCCCAAGGAGACTCGGCTGACCACATGGGAAGCTCTGAAGTGTTGGGGTCCAACCCCAACAGGTCCAGGGGTTCCCAAAGGTGTGGACGGAGTCAGCGAAGAAGGAATGACATGGAGGCAGCATTCAATCGATCATCATAGCCAGGTTCTTTTTTTTTTTTTTTTTGTCCTATTACATCTGTATTTATACCGTTTGATCCTATAAGCATGCCTCTATAATCACATCATGGTATGTTTTGGGTAACGTTCTACAGTTCCTTGTTTCTTATCTGACCTTTGCCAAAAATCCTGTCTCTATCTTGTTCTGTTGATTTTAATCTTGTCTAGGTTAATCTCTGTGTTCCATTACAAGGGCTAGTCCAAGGTCACTATTCTATTGCTCTACTGATAAGCTACAAGGAAGTGACAGGAGTTTATCCTACCCAGTAAAGATTATGTCCTCCCAGCCTCGCTGCTTGCCTTCCCTGGGACTGCCCTGTGTCGGTGGGTCTCCAGGGGTATAGGCTTTGGTGCTTTCCCTGGTGGGCAGACCCCTGGGGATTTGGGCCCAACAAGTCCCAAATTTACTGCCAACAGTCTTAGTCCAAGTTCTTCATAAGTACTGTAGTACATGGTATTTCTGTAACACTAGGGGAATTTACTGACTTATTCTCCTCCTTAATCCTGTTAATCCCTAACCTGGGGAAACTACCTTTCTTGGGGAGGTGGTCCTGCTTAAAACACATAGTGCTAAGAGGGGGAGCAAACATATGTCATATACGCCAGGTCCCTTGAAACATAAGCTGTGCAGATGTTTCTTCCCGGCAGCGACTGTGTCAAGCAGCAAGGGTGGACTGGCTTCTGGCAAATTACTCCATTTTTATTTTTTAAATGACAGCGCATGTAAATCAGCATCCACCTCTCCAATTGGGTTAAGACTCGGAAGAAGACTGACAAGCAATGATAGCGAGCATAGCTATAAACATAGTGGATGGAGTGCACACGGAGCCTTGTTTCTGTAGAAGGCCTCTTCAGTCAAGGGATTTCAGCTGTTCCCAAGTCGGTGGTTTGGTTGTCCTCATTGATCTGACTAGCGGGCGGCGTCGCTGGCGACGGGCTTCCTGAAGTGTCAGCACGTTGAAGGACTGGATCATGGGTCCATCAGGGCTGGGCTTGATGGTGGTGTGGGCGTCCAGGGAGGAGTCAGCTGTGCCCTCTGGGTCGGCTGATATGGATGATACTGGGGAGGTGGAGGAGGAGGCGGAGATGGAGGGTAGTAGAGAGAAAAAGAAGAGAAAGCAAAAGAACTACAAGGCATGGAAGTGTTTAGAAAAAAGAGGGAGAAGAAAGGGAAGAAGGCAGCATCCTGACACAGCCCTTTCCTTCAGCTGCCCCTTTCCCTGTGGTCCAAGGTAGAAATGGGAAACAAGTCCTGTTGCAGTGAGAGGGCAGCTGCTGTCAGCCAGTCTCTGTCTTTACCTGGGTCCCAATCTGAGCTAGGCGTGGGAAGTGAAGCAGCCATGGGGGCAGGAGACCTCCCTCAGAAGGGGTGAGGGTTCAGGCCTCTGCAAAGCTGGGGGGGTGAGGGTCTGTGTCCCACCTCTGTTGACCCCCAAGTTGTCTCCTGATGGCCCCTCTGCGACTGTGCCTGTCTTAGGTTGTTCCTTTCCTGAGGAATCTTACCCGTCTCTGGCTAACCAGCCATCCTCCGGGGCCAAGCAGGGTGATGTGAGGTGTGGGAATGAGGGAGGGGCAGCGCCCCCCTGCAAGAGGTTCAGTTCTGTCTCCTTGGTAGCCTATGCCCCCGTGGCCTCCAGCACCTGCCTTGGGCTCCCCTCGCCTGCAAATGGACTGTGAGAAGAGGGTCCCTCTTGACACAAGGGCAAGAGGGGCCAATACAGGACAAAGGAGAGTCCCGGGACAGGGCTTTCTCAGCCCAGGATATCAGGCTCTTGGCACAAGACAACTCCATGTATGGGGAATATACCAGACACCCCCTAGTCACGGCAGAAAAGGGAGGTGCCCTTCCTGGAACAGTAGAGTAGGGAGATTCTAGAAAAGGCTGTGTTCAGGAGAGAAGGAGAAAGACCAAAGAACCAGCAAACAAGTAGTCAGATTAAGAAAAGAAAAAGGAAAGGAGATGTGGGGCAAAGCTGGGACATATGGACAGACAAAAAGGAGGCACATGTGATCCTCCCAATGGACAGGTTGTTCCAGCTCAGGGCTGCACATCTGCTGCAGACGGGCACTGGTCAGGTGTGCTAACTTGGCCTCCCAGGCATGACGGTCCCCAGGAGGGAGGCAGAGGCTGCTCCTTCTGGAAAGATAAAACACAACCTCTTCCCCACATCATTACTAGATCTGGTAAAGCTCTTGTCTGGTTTGTGTATCCTTCTACCAGGCTGAGTCGGCAGAGGCTATTGT